TGAGTAGCTGGGATTACAGGCACGTGCCACTATGCCCAGCTAATTTTTTGTATTTTTAGTAGAGACGGGGTTTCACCATGTTGACCAGGATGGTCTCGATCTCTTGACTTCGTGATCCACCCGCCTCGGCCTCCCAAAGTGCTGGGATTACAGGCGTGAGGCTAAGAACTTTTCTGAGTGTAAAGAAAATGGCTTTTACTGCTTTGCCTTTGTTGATAAGAAAACGATTTATCCTTTAATATTGTATTAGAATGACCATTTCCTGTACAGTTTCCCCATCTCTTGAATTTAAAACCAGTATTTTTGTGTTTACGTACCCTTCTGTTTTATACATTTCCAAGACAAATTACAGAGGCAAAAGATGAGAAAATATACACAACTCTTTGATGAAATTGTGATTGTTATTGTTGTTGTTCTTTCCTTTAGACCACAGCCACTGGCTGCGTAAAGCTCACCCCTCCATCAATGCCACAGCATCACCACAATCTGGACAAGGCTCCTCTCGTTTTATGTTATGTTATTTTTTTCTTTTTGTTCTACCTTTATTTTCCTCCCCCATACGCATCTTTCTTTTCTTCTGCACCACCAAGAGTGAACGGCCCTCAGCTCCGTGGGACAAGGAGAGTGCAGCATGTTAGAGTTGTTTAGTCTTCATGAGATCCTGGCTCTAGGACAAAACTGGGGGCATGGGTGTCTCAGAGGCACTCCTAAATGTTTGCCCTCAGGACCCATTGCTGCAGCCCTGATACTTCCTGTAGCTCTCAAAATAATTCTGACTTCATTTAGCTAACACATTTTACCAAGCACCAGGTGTTCAGAGGAAAGCTGGACGGACACAGCCTCTGCCCTCAGTCTGGTGAGGGAGACTGCCAGTGCAATGGCCCATAGAGCAAGCATGGGGAGAGCCATGCCATGGGCACAGGGAAGGGCATGCAAGCTGGGTGTGGGCAGCAGAGGAAGAAAGGGTGGGTGAGTAGGCATTTTCAGGGCACACCAAAAGTCTAGTGCCAAGGGTGTTCTTGTCAGCAGCATGGGGCCAAAGGCAAAAGAACAGAGTGCTTTTGAGAAACTGGGGGAAGTTGATCCTGACACATACAAAGAGTTGAAGGTGGGAGTGGGAGGCTCCCACTTCAAAGCAATGTGACCTTTGAAGCAAAGGACCATGCCTGACCCTGATGTCACATTCCCTGCCTGGCACAGAGGGACACAAGAACTCAATGATGAATGACCAGATTCCACTGTAAATCCAGGTTCTGCTGCACACATTGGCTGCCCCATTCAGTCTCAGGACAACTTCTAGATATACTGTGGGGCTGTGAATCTTGGGGGCACTGAGAAAGCTCTCCTACACAAAGGATCAAGGAACACATTTCTGGCCAGACACAATGGTTCACACTTGTAATCCCGGCACTTTGGGAGGCTGAGGTGGGAGGATCACTTGAGACCAGGAGTTCAAGACCGGCCTGGCAAACATGACGAAACCCCTTCTCTACTAAAAATACAAAAACTTAGCCAGGTGTGGTGGAGCATGCCTGTAGTCTCAGCTACTGGGGAGGCTGAGGCAGGAGAATTGCTTGAACCCTGGAGGTAGACGTTGCAGTGAGCCAAGATCATGCCACTACACTCCAGCCTGGGTGACAGAGCAAGACTCTGTTGAAAGAAAAGAAGGAAAGAAAGAGAGAGAGAGAGAAGGAGAGAAGGGAGGGAGGGAAGGAAGGAAGGGAGGGAGGAAAGGAGGGAGGGAGAGAAGGAAGGAAGGGAAGGAAGGAAGGAAGGAAGGGAGGGAGGGAGGGAGGAAGTTAGTTAGTTCTGATGTACGGGTTGTATTTGACTTAAGTAGAGTGTCCAGAGTCAGCATATAAAAATACAGGACACCCAGTTAGATTTGAATTTGAATGCAGGGGACATGCTGATACTTAAATATTATTTGTTGTTTATCTGAAATTAAAATGTCACTGAGCATCCTACATGTTATCTAGCAACCCTACCTAGGATGAGTCAACAGAAGATGGAAGTAACTGAGTCAGGCACTTCTGTTGAGGGTGGAGGGAGGGGGCATCAAACTAGCTGTTGGGGGCTCAGGGAGAAAACAGCATCACAGAGCTGTTTGAAGGTCTAACCAAGCGAGAAGTGACCTCCATCTTTGAGCCAGATAGCACCTGGGTTCTTTGGAAATTTTGGGACACCAAAAGGAGAAATAAAGGTTTTCCTTGTGTTTCACACCCTATTAAATAGGCTTTTTAACTAAGGTGTGACCCACATTATTATTAGGCTTCTGACCGCAGGTAGAAAGCAGGACTTGCCAGAGCAGTGTATCGCCCAGGGGTGGCATTGCTGGCTCAAACTGGGGACAAAAGAACAGAGGAGAGAGATGTGCAGCCCCTCTAGGATGCTGCAGAAAATTTCTCAGCTCTTTGTCACAGTTACCGGGAGTATCCTGACCCTGTATTATTTCTTCAGGGGCAGCGATTTCCAAGATGAAAATTAATCTCAACCTCTACCCAAGCCAATTATAACCTCCACCCATAAAATCCTTTTTAAACTTCACCCAGAGAAAGTTTCAAGCAAATTCCAGTGCATGCTTATAGAACCTAAAGCAGGGGATTCATGTATAGTATTTGTTCTCACTTTGTGAAAATATGCAAACATCTTACAGGAAAAAAGTTACATAGTGATTGTTGACATAACTGGTTCAGGAGCCATGGTCATTAAATTTATATTGTTTCATCCCATAAAAATATAATAGCATTACATTGCAGTACTAGGGAAAGTTAAGCCTCTCAGAGTGGGGTGGGGGGATGAGACTTTTCTAAGTTCTGCACACAAACCACATCCCAGGCTGGGTGCAGTGGCTCACACCTGTAATACTAGCACTTTGCAGGCCAAGGCAGGCGGATCATGAGGTCAAGAGATTGTGACCGTCCTGGCCAACACAGTGAAACCCCGTCTCTACTAAAAATACCAAAATTAGCTGGACATGGTGGTGGGTACCTGTAGTCCCACCTACTTAGGAGGCTGAGGCAGGAGAATCACTTGAACCCAAGAGGTGGAGGTTGTAGTGAGCCAGGATCGCACCACCTCACTCCAGCCTGGTGACAGAGCAAGACTCCATCTCAAAAGAAAAAAAAAATGTAACATGATCCAGACAGTTGAAAAAAAAAATCAGATTCACAGGAAGAGATGGAGCAAGAGGAGGCCCAGTCAGACATGGAAGAGGGCTGGGAAGACAGTGTGCAGGGTATTTAATTATTTTTAGTTATTTTTACAGTTTTTAAAATAAATTTATTTAGTTATTCATCTTCAGTTTAGTTATTTTTAGAAGGACAGGGGAGGTGGAGCCTGTACAACTAGATCAATGTTTCTTAACCTTTTCTTCATTATCACACCTGTAAGAAGCAATAGATTTTATTTCCCTAATCATCCCTCCCTGAAATTTTAACACCACAGATAAACTGTGTATCTGTTTATGTACATGTCGTTAGGTAACCAGGTCCATGCATGTTTGTGACTTTCCACAATGTCAGACTTTTATTAATGTTATTTCAATTACGAAAGCCACAAGCTCCATGGAGTTCCCAAGGAGGCAGTTCTCCTTACCCGGATCACTCAGTTGTCAGAGCCGGAGCACGCAGGCTCAAGCCTCTCCACAAGAAGGTCAATATTGTAAACACACATAATAATACACTTAGCCAATATGTAAGTGTTATAAGTTAAACATTCCACAATGAAGCAACATTTAACATCAAGAGGAAAAAGACAGAAGAAAGGGTTAATGAACCAGTGCAGGGGGAGTGAAGAAGACAAAAGCAGTCATGCTCTGGGCCAGGCATCCCGTTGGTCTTGCAAGGAAGAGTCTGAGGTAGCACAGCCTTCAGTGCAGACGCCAAGTTTTTATCATGAGTGACAGTAAGCTGATGTCCATTTCGAGCTACTGAAAGCCAAATCTTCTATAGTCACAGAGGGTTCTGGCAAGAACTGATAGTGGAAGAGTGTGCTTATTTGTGTCCTTATCTGGTTGGATGTAGTCTTTTTGTTTTTATTTGTTCACTAAACAAAACATCTTATCCTTGTTGGCAAAATGCCCTCTGAAATATAAAATGGAGTCTTCTTCTAAGATGGAATTAGTTATGTCAAGTGTGTTGAATGTATATAGGTGCTTTATACATAAGAACAGCGAGATTTTTGGTCTGGGCACAGTGGCTTATGCCTGTAATCCCAACACTTTGGGAGGCTGAGATAGGTGGATTACTTGTGCCCACGAGTTTTAGACCAGCCTGGGCAACGTAGCAAGACCCAGTCTTTACCAAAAAATGTAAAAATTAGCCAAACCTGGCTTGCAGCTATAGTCCCAGCTTCTCCAGGAGGATTGCTTAAGCCTGGCAGCTCAAGGCTGCAGTGAGTTGTGATCATCCCACTGCACTCCAGCCTGGCAACAGTATTGCCCCCATTGAGAAAACATGCGGTAGATGACATCACTACTCAACTCATACTCTGTAAGCACACCCACAAACAAAACTCTGGCCCAAGGTGCAGGAAGGCATCTGTTATTGTCATCTTTCTAATAATGGATGAATAGGAAGAGATGGCTGATGGGCAACACACGTTGTGCAGGCCAGCTCCCACTTAGGCTTGATGATCTTTAAAACATCTTATAGGGCCATGGCTGGAATTTTCATATTGGATCAATTTATTCAGAAAAACTAAACTGGAAATAAAGAAAGTAATAAATTTCAGATATCTGTGGTTGATATGTGCTAAAATGTATGGCATATATGACTGTATACATGACTGGGAAAAAGGATTTGATACTTCATATTTTTGAATAAAGCAAGCTGCTGGAAATATCTTTATCTTTGGGTTTTGTCATTCTAAGTAAATATGAAAAGAGGAGATATATTTAAAAGACTGTTTGCATGCAACCTCCTCTGGTTACAGCTTCCTTGAAGCTGATATCTCACTACCATGTTTTCAGGGGTGACGACAGGTACAGGATACAGCCTGGCCCAGTTGAATGATGCCTTACATTTGATCATTTTGGAGCAACCGAAGGAGAAGACTAAGACCCATCAAACTCTTCTGAAGCATCTGAGGACACTTGCAAGAGCCCAGATTATGAATATGGCCGTATGTTCTCTAATGAGATACATCACAGTTATAGACAGTCATACAGTTCTGTAACTTTAACAAATTTTACTCTGAAGAGGAATCTCAAGTCAATGTTGAACAAGTCTGTACAATATGAGTGTGAGCATGTATATGCCTAAGGTAAAGGCATCATGTTGAGTGTGTACGTTTGTGTGCAGAGTAGCACATGGTACAGCAAAATTATGGTGCTGGAGTCACAAGATTCTGGAGAAGCTTCTTGACCTCTGTAAGCCACTGTTTCTTCATTTTAAAAATTAAGGTCCAGTGTAAGGGAGATGTCAGTCAAGGGGCACAGAGTTTTAGTTAGACAGGAGAAATAAGCTTTCATGATCTGTTGCCCAACATGGTGACTATAATTAATAGTAATGTATATTTCAAAATTGCTACAAGAGTAGATTTTAAGTGTTCTCACCACAAAGAAATGATAAATACATGAGGTGATAGATATGTTAATTAGCTTGATCTAATCATTCCACTATGGTATACATACATCATAACAGCACATTGTACCCCATAAATATATATTATTGTCAGTCTAAAAATTTTAAAATAAAAACTATAGACAAAAAAATCACACCAAAATTTAAGATTAAAAATGTAACACCAAAAATTAAGATTCAACCAAATAGACTATTTCTAAGATCCAAAGAGGCAATCTCTAAGGTCTCTATTCAACCAAATAGGCTATCGCTAAGATTTGATCAAATAGACTGTCTCTATGTCCAGCTCTAAAATTCCATGAAATATGCCTCATCCAAGACTTGTGTAAACACAAGCCTGCATTTCCAAAATGCTCTTGTACGGCTGGTTCTCCTCTTAGGCCTTTGCACCAAGGTGAATTTCTAATCATGTACGTGACGTGTCTATTCTTGGATACCCCCAGTTGTTTAGCTTTATGGGGCTTTCTTATTACTTAAGATTTAAAAATGATTAGTTTGAATCATTTCTCATTTCACACGTGATGAGCAGTTCAGCAGGATTTAGTAGGGGCCAGCAGATACTTCCTGTCTCCTGATTTTCTCTGGCCCTTCGGCTGATTCTCAAAAACCCACTCTATGTTTTCACCTTCTGCATCTTCTGTCCCTTTTCTGAAGCATGTTGCTCCTCTCAGCATCGACTTGTCCCCTTAAGTCTTTCAAAGGCCCACTGTTCAAGGCTATGTGTGAAGCAGCCTTCACTGAGGCTTTGGGCAGCAAAGCAGGCTCTACCTCCCAGCAGCACCACACGCATTTTGAATGTGATGCTCCTATCTCGGTTCTTTAGGTTTCCCCAGGCTCCAGTCACTCCACCTGCCGCATATTGGTCCACACTCTTTCTTCCCTTTAGCTTTAACCCCTCTTCTCCCTAACCTGCTGGCACTAGCCCCTACATTCCCATTCATTTTCCTTTTGTCTGTCCTCATAAGTAAACATGCCTATCAAGGAAGGCTTCTAAACAAAGACACATGCATACTCGGGTCAGTTCTCAAAGAAATTTCCCTCTTCATCGCACATGGAAGAGGAATATTTTCTCAAGCTATAAGTTTGGATGGGGTCAGGAGTGGGAATCTTGCACAATATATGATCTAATCTACGTAACTGCCCCCAAACCCTGCCAGACCTTTCAGTGAAGCAAAAAAAAAAAAAAAACCTGGGAGGCGGAGGTTGCAGTGAGTGGAGATCGCATCACTGCACTCCAGCCTGGGCAACAGAGTGAGAAAAAAAAAAAAAAAAAAAAAAGGGAGAATTAAAAACTTACACAAGAACCCTGTTAGAAATGTCACAAATAATTCCTTATTTGTCAAATAGCTAAGTATAGCTTTTAAAATGACATTTATATTTTTATTTAGACTTTAGGAGGACATATGGTGCGTCGGCCTAATTTTTCTGACCTAAACCCCATTTTAGCAGCAGGAAATGCTACCATCAATCTGATATCTAAAGGTAAGAAACCAAGATTTAAGCATTTTATTTTGTGCATATCACTATCAATTATATAGCTCCTGCTGTAAACCATGAACTAGGGACCAAGTACTTCTAATTTAGATTCATAAGCTATGTTTACATTACCTCAAACCTAAGGGTGAAACTGACCAATTATCCTGCTCTCCAGCTGTTCCATGTGTAGCAGGTCAGATACTTGACTGCATCTGACAATTTTCCTTAAATATTTGGCCATATTTATGAGTAGTCTAAATTGCAGTATCAAAGCAGGTGAAGAAAAATTAATGAGAAGTATCTCTGTGGTTTTAAAGATTTATGGAAGATTTTATTGCAGAGATTCATAAAGATGGCAATTTTTCTTATAGGACTTTTCGTTTTAAACAAAATGAAGTTTGTGGGGCATATTACTTATTCCCCCTCTCTTTATTCAAAGACATCATGAGTTTTATGGAAATAAAATGATTTAAACTTAGAGAAATAAAAATAAATGCATATTATTCATAGGATTATTAATGTAAGATATTGTCTCCTTGACTAAAATTACATTAAAAAATTATGGGTCAAATAACAGTATGGCAAACTGTTTAAAATATATACACATACACACATATATCTATATACACACATACATATATACAATCATGTATAAAAATTTAGGGGCAAAAACAAACCACATACATGACAGTGGTTCCATAAGATTACATTAATAATACCATATTTTTACAGTACCTTTTCCGTGTTTAGATATGTTTAGATACACAAATACTTACCATTATATTATGATTGCTGCAATATTCACTACAGTAACATGCTGTGCAAGTTTGTAGCCTAGGAGCAATAGCTATACTCTGTAGCCCAGGTGTAGCTATTGCTACACAAACCTAGATGGTATGGTAGGCAGTAGGCTACCCATCTAAGTTTGTGTAAGTATATTCTATGATATTCACACAACAGAATCACCTAACTACACCATTTCTCAGAATGTATCCTCAGTAAGTGTCACATGACTATCAGGGATCCCATCTCAGCCACCAGTCCCACGTTGGTACTTTGCAAAGGTCACTTAACCTCTCTGGAGCTTTGTGTTCTCATTTGTGAAATGTACACATTATAGTAGGTTGTTTCCAAATAGCTTTAAAGTTCTTTGAGTCCAAATTTTGTGAGTAGCGTATAGTGGTCCGGAAGAACCAGAAAGGACTTTGCAGCTTATCTGACCAACCCTGTCACGCTGCAGCTGAGGACCCTGAAGTTTCCATGACTTGCCAAAGGAGGCCTAGCTTGGGAGCTGCAGCTGGAACCAGACGTGGCTCCCAGCCTGCATCCTCTTTCCACCGTATATTTATCTGCCACTGGCAACATATTCTCCAACTTGATAAGCTCATCCTAACCAAGGGTGATTTTCTCAAACAGAAGGACAACAGCAGATTCCTTTAAATGGCTCTTTTCTTGAGAGATCACCTGAGGCCAACTTGAAATCAGAAGAGATTATGCCGTGTGTTTATATTCCCTATTCTACTCAGGTGAGGGTTCCCTGACTCACTGTCCAGCCCTAGGGAAGCCCCACTGGCCTATGCAGTGAGCCTGCAGACAGGCTTCCAGGGCAATGCTCTAGGGACACTTTCTGGGCTGCCACACAGGGAGGGGCAAATTTCCAAATGACTGTTTGATTTGCTTTCATCTCAGGGTCACATTATAACCTTTATAGGCCCTAGGCACTTTTGCCTTTGTGAATCTCTTCCTCCGTATAAAAAATAAACTGTATGCCTATATAGCAATATCTACATATAAAAATGTGATTGTAACAGCATAAATCCAAGCTGCATTCAGTGTTTTATATTCATTTTTTTTATTTTTAAAAGATTTTTAAAATTTCTACTTTTATTTTAGATGTAGGGGCTGCAGGTGCAGGTTTGTTACCTATGTATATTGCGAGATGCTGAGGTTTGAAATGTAGACTCCATCACCCAGGCAGTGAACATAGTACCCAATAGGAAGTTTTTCAACCCATGCCCACCTCCCTCTCTTCCCTATCTAGTAACCTGCAGTGAATTAAAAGTTAAACATTTCCCTGGGCCCCTAAAAGTATCCTAGGCTCTATCTCACATGAAAGGTTCTCCTTTTGCAAGGCTAATCTACCTAAAGGGCACACTGACAGTGGTCTCATAAGATTATGTTACCTAAAAGGCACACTGAACCTGGTCCCATAAGATTATATTACCTAAAGGGCACACTGGCCTTGCAAAAGGAGAACCTTTGATGTGAGTTGAATTTTTGGTCTCGGATAAATATGCATCTTAGCCAACATTGAGCAAATCTAGTCACCTACAGCAAGTGTCTGACAAACTGAAAGTTAATTATCACAAAATTGCCTCCAAGTCAATCAACATTTATTAACCAAATAGTTTAAATAAAATTATTTACTTATTAACCACCTACCAATCTATACCCCAGGCACAGTGTGGTAAACCCAGAAGACACTACAATGGTTTATGACACAGAAGGGGTCCTGTCGTTGAAGATCTCTAAATCTAACAGGAAGAGCTTGAAGTAGGAAATAACTAATAACCTCAGACAGGAAATGAGTGGGCAGCATTTCCTCCCCTCATTCCATTCAGCAGAGCCACTCAGAGTAGCTCTGGTGATAAGAAGAGCCCTTCCCTAGAGGGAGGAAAGGGGAGGAAGGCTGTTAAAAGTGAAGCATAGAAGATGGTAGCTTTTGCACCAGTGGAGAGAAGGGAGGATAACATGGGGGCTGGGGATGGCAGGTTGGTAGGCTAGTGAGTAGGGCTGGGGGTTGGGGCAGCCCATGAGTGAGGCTGAGAGGGAAGCTGGGCTCCATCACTAAACACATCCATTGCTCCGTCAAGGAGTTTGTATGTGTCCTAACAGATGGCCGCCTTTGAAGGCTTTAAAATAAAGTAAAAATTAAATGAAAGTGGTATTTTAAGAAAATAAATAGAGTAGAAAGATAGAGGATAAAGCAGACAGGGGAGAGACTAAAGATTGAATGACCAGTTAGGAGGCTAATGCAGTACTTTGGGCAATAAATCGGGAGATGGTGATGAGGGCAGTGGCAGCAGGAATGGAGAAGAAAGTCCCCACCCATCAGTACAGCAGAGTAAATATGATCAGCGTGTCTCAAACGCTTCTCTGACAGAAATGTTTTATCCTTGACCCTTGACAAGGTCCATGATGGTAGGATTTAATCTCTCCACCAAGAAGATGCCAAGAAGCTGGCCATACAAGAAGCTGGCCACACAAAGAGGCTTTCCCATTTCATGGCTCCAATGTTCCATGCTAGTCATGAGATTCAACCAAGAATGACAGGTTTATACCTAGAAAGAACTGGAGAGACCAGGAGTCCAGTGGTTT